AACCTAGTTTAACCAATTGTTCCGCATATAAGGCGAGTCGCTTATTTGACAGCGCATTATCTCATGATCCTGTGATTGGATTTGAATAATTTTAGTCTTGTTAGAGTCGTCTCAAAGAGGTGAACACGATGGTAATAAAATTATTTTAAACAAACTTATATATTAAAAATTATTTAATTTTAAAGTTTTGAAAAACACAAACCCTAACTACAATTCCAAAAATCTGGGCATATCTGAATGTAAAAAATCATTTTACGCTAGTGCACCCATCTGACCGTGTAACGTAAAAATCAATACAAAATTGTTTGCAAGGCTTTAAGGTTAGGGAAGAGCAATAGCGAAGGTGTCCTTAACTCAATATTCGCAAGGAATTTTTTTTAATTTTCGCGTTACACTGATCCTGCGATCTGATTGGTTGTACCGTGTGAAAAATGAAGTGTAGCCACCTAAAAGCTAAAAACTAAAATAATTTTAAAATTATGCAAAAAAAATTTTTGCATTAGGGTTAGAAAAGATCCAGACAAACCTATTCACGTGATAAAATGGACTGAAGTAGAACCAATTCTCTAGTGATGGGACCTAAATACTTTCGGCACTGATTGGGGTTTTCGGTCGGGATTTGGGCTTTTGCCGAAACTCAAATGTAATCCCAAATCCCAAATATAATCCCAATCCCAATGTAATCCCACATATTCCCAAATCCTAAAAACACGTGCAAGGATAAAAATTTTTATTATGATCGTTGATTCAACGACAATGACAGTTTGAATAAAAAATATAATGACGTTTTTTCTGTAATAAATATAATGATACTTCTTTTAATAAATATAATGATACTTTTAATAAATATAATGATGTTTTTAATAAAATATAACGATGCTTTTAATAAAATATAACGATGTACAGTATTTTGACTACTTATTAATAATAATAAATAAATCGATGTCTTTTATTAAATATATTTTGACTACTTATTATTAATAATAAATAAATCGATGTCTTTAAATAGTAAAGAATTTTTCAAAATTTAAAATATTTTTGTATCATCAAATGGATTTTGAAGATATTATGGAACCTTCAACAAGCGATACTACGGATAATCAACAAGTATTATATCGAAAGAAAAGTGGACGTCCAAAAGCTGCGGCATGGGTGTATTTTACGAAGGGTTCAGCTACTGATAAATATGGACAGAGTTGGTTCCAAAAGTAGTGGAAAGCCAACTTGCATTACGTTATGAGAAGGTTTCTGATTATGTTAGTAATACGTCATCTTTGTGTAGATTATATTGCTCGACGAAACTATGTGATGCTAATCATCACATAGCCACGAATAGTAACATGTGAATTCACATGTTAATTGCACTAATATTGTAGAAATAGCATATTTATTGTCTGTTATTTCATGCTTAACATGTGGCTGTGTGATTATTAGCATCGTCAAGCAAATATAGTGTAGATAACATTGTAAAGAAGCTTTAGAAGCTTTAAAGTAATAATATAATTTAGCGTAGTATACTGTATAAAACTATGTAAATGCTACAAATAATTAATAATATAAAAAATTGATGCTTTTAATTTTAAATTAGTATTATTTTGGGAGGCAAATCCCAGGATTTGGGCACGTGCCGATACTAATTAGAGTTTAAAAAATCTTAATTGTATTTTTAAATTTCAAAATCAGAAAAAGGTGTCGGGATTATACATCAGTTAGGCCAGACCAACTTGATTCTTTGTTTAACATAACATAAAATAGCTGTAAGAAGGGAGTGAGGCATCGGAAAAAAAACACAATAATATTAATACTGCAATTTTATTGGTTGATTTAACATGTATTGGTTATATAAAATTTAAAAAAATGAGGAGGGATAAATACTATTAGGGGGATTCAGAATTGATTTATTTCGAAAATAAGTAGGATTTTAAAAGGTCATACTGTATTTCTGAATTGAAATTCCGAATTAAGAAAATGACATAGTGCATCCAGAGATAAAGTTGGTAACTTTTTTTTGATGTACATATTATTAAAATATTCTTTTACAAGAAAGTTTATAATTATTTATGTCTTTAATTTGCTGTTGCCGATTTGAAACATAAGGCATTTAAATAATATATATTAACAAGTTATACGAATGCTTAAATGCAGGGTAATATTAAAATTGATATTTATGAAAGTATACGAAAAACCACGATTATGAGAGATTTAATTAATATCAAAATAATTATGTAAATAAGTGTATTTTTTAAATAAATAAGATTTATACGTCACTTATTTTGATTATCGCATCTGGAAAATGTGTACCAGGTTGGCGCGCCACAATGGCTTGATAGGTCAATTAAAAAAAGGCTTCTAATGCTTAGAATAAATTTAAGACTATAAAAACATTTAATTTGTTATACATTTATCCCATCAAAATTTTGTTATATAAGCTTCAAGATTTAAATTTCAATACAGTTTTATCCTCATTTATTAATGAATATCATTAAGAAATTTCTTTTGTTATCTTTTGTTATCTTAGTGCTGCCCTTTTTTTGCATAAAACAATTCGTATATTGATGCAAATTCACGAGTATGTTCCATCTCTAATTTTAATGTTTTTTAGATTTCTTTCAAATCTGATTCTTTGAATTCAATATTCTGTTTGAAAAGAATTTATTGAAATTGAAAAAATTACAAACATTATCATAATGATTCGGATCTATGAATAAAAAATTTATTGAAGACTATGGGTGTTCTCAAGCGCCTAAATCAATGGATCGGAAATCAATTTTTAATTAGTGGAAAATAATTTAACCGATCAAGTGAGTTATTCATCGCAATGAAAAATAAAAGATGGTCGTCACTCAATGGATCTGGAGTAAAATTTTAACTAGTCAAAATTCGAATAAACTAATCAAGAGAGTTATTATTTCGATGAATAAAACCTAGATCTGCGATTACCAATTTTTTTCATAGAGTTTGCTCTAATTGGCTAAAATTTAAAATCCACAATTCACACAATGAATTTTCAGCATATCGTTACCATTTAATCGTAATAATCACTTCAATTAATAGTAATGCTTGAGCAACGTCTCAGATCACTTCAAATCACATTGAGGATGCTGCTTGAGAACGCCCTTAATATCCACATTCTGCACTACGAATCTTTTACAATATTGCTATAAGAATTATTTATAATGCTTGTGCACGATCTAAATCACATTGAGGGTTGCTTGAGAACACCCTTAATCAATTCTATGACTAAAAATTCTAAAAAGTAACATTATATATTTATAAATCAATATGGCAATATAAGATCTTTGCTATGAAAATGAACCTCCGAGACTATTTAGATTTTATAAATAAAATTAAGATTTATTAGCGATCTAGTAATCTAATTCGAATAAGATTTTTTTATTTCATAGAATTCGCTAAGCTTTGTGAAATAAAAAAAAATATATTCAATTGGTTTACTGGATCGCTGAAAATTTTAATTTTATTCATAAAATCTAATAGCCTCGGAAGGTCTTATTTGTGCAATAAAATTTATATTTATTCTAATGAGACTATCCTTCTAAAGGAATTTTTTGTTGAAGCCCCAGTATATTGAAAAAATTTAGAAGTCCAATAGCTTGTGTAATTTGATGATAGGTTTCCTCTTAATATTATCAATGTTGTTGATTGAACTGGCGAATCAAATGTTACTTTGTTACATAGAATGACCTATGATGACCCCGGTCATTTGGTCATCGATCAAATGACCGAAAATCTAATGACTAAAGATGACCGAGGTCATTTAAAATTTACCACGCTTAAAGCCAGGTACGTTAGGGTTAGTTAATATTTTATACGTATACGTATAAATATCAAGAATGAAATTTATGCAATATGTAGATCATATCGATATGTAAACGGACTTGGCTTTAACGGACCCCATCTCTGGTCACAGGTATCTATCTAAAGTCTTAATTTACAAACAAATCGATTAGTAATCCCAATAAGGCCCAGACCCAACTAACATAAAATAGATGTAAGAAGGGGGTGGGGCAATTTTATTGGTTGATTTAACATGTATTGGTTATATAAAATTTAAAAAATTGAGGGGTTATGTTAAACGAAGAATTAAGTTGGTCTGGTCTAAACCAAATAAAATGCCCGAAATAAACTTATAAGGTATAGCGGATGTTTTATAGAATAGATGAGCAAACTCCGCTAAATATATTAAAAAATTAATGGTTATTAATCATTAGTGAAGCTTATTTCTTATATTGCCTACCTATTCTATAGAATATCCGGTATAGCTTACGATTCTTCTAGACAATATATTAGAAAAAAAAAAAAAATGTCGAAAGATACTCGTTATCTCAAGCAAACTCATACTTACGTGTTTGTCCTAATGGTAAAAATTGGCTCTGAACTTATTTGTAATATTAAATAAAATATTAATAATTATGAATTAAAGGGTCCTTGCGGATGTGGCAAGTCATATCTTGGAAAGCTGCTATCTCAAGAACTGCAAATTCCCTTTATCGAAGGAGATGAATTACACCCTGAAGCAAATATTAATAAAATGTCTTTAGGAATTCCACTTAAAGATTCAGATCGTTATCCATGGTTACAAGACATTATAAATAATGTTTCGAAATTAGCTGATACAAAAAATTCTCAATATATTTTAGTATCATGTTCAGCATTGAAAGCTGCTTATCGTGAATTTTTGAGAAAGAATTTTATTGAAAGAAATATAATTACCTGGTTCGTTTATTTAAAAAATGACAAACAAATATTAAAAGAAAGAATGCAGAGACGAGGAAATCATTTCATGAAAGTGAATATGTTAGAGTCGCAATTTAAAGATTTGGAAGAACCAATTAATGAGGTGAACACTGTCACTGTAGAAGCCGATAATAATTTAAGTTTGGTAAAAAAAATTATTCATGAGAATACGAATAAATACCTTCCACAGTTTCCACAGCATACGAACAGCCATAATTAAATGTGATAACTTATAATAAAATTTTCTAAAATTAAATTTGACCCAGGATCAAAATGTTCTTTACAAGCTATTAATCAAAAAGTAGAGTTAACAGCTACCCTATCATGTTTTATACGTCAAAGGTTAGAGGTAAAATATACCACTTTAAAAGATTGAACATTTTTAATAATAAACCAAGAAGTGTAAGTGAAATTCAAATCCCTAACACTAGTTTTCTAAAATTGCATATTTAGCTACAAAACAACGTTTTTAGTTTTAATTTCATATATATATTAGCGTTTAAACATGTACTAAAATTAATAAACTCCAAATACGAAAAGATCATATTAAATAATTGTATGAATACTGCCTACCCATATAAAATCGTTTTATTAATCTTTTATCCAAAAAAAATTTTAAATTTTTTCGTAATATCTTTTGAGATATAATTAACCTAATATTTATTGTCGCGGATGATTGTGAAATTGGATGATGCTGAAGTTTTTATCTATTTTATTGAAAATTTAAAACTTTTTAGGGCCTTTTGTAGCTTTTTTTTAGAGTTAGGATTAGGATTTAGAGATAGAGTTGTTAATAAAAGAGTGTATATGTATTTTTAGTAGGTATTATGGATTTAAATAGGGACTCTAAATTTTCAGCATCATTCGATTTCATCATCCGACATTTATTGAGTGAATTTGTAATTGCAGTTATCGTTATGCAAATTGGCATTTTGGGGAAATTTTGCCAGTTCCAAGTCCATTGTTCCATAATTTTTACTATTAAACCTTACAAATTTGGTATAAATATATATTTTATTTTTCAATCTAACAACATATGCAGTATTTTTAAATACTTTATACGTAGCAAATTATTTAGAAACTGTTTATATGGTTGTACTATAATTTTCCACACAAAAAATCACAACAGACAAAATCTTGACTAATGCTAGCTAACTTATCGCCCTGTCAGAGAAATATTATAGATATCGGGTAATTTTCTGGATCCCAGATTATAAAGAAAAAAAAATCCATCAATTATTTTCCGTATAACAGCAATACGAATTTGGACTAGTAATGCGGTAGAATCGTCCCAATGATTGTCGTAACTGAGTTTAAATTTTCGTAACTTGTCGTTAACTATAGTAAATAATAATAATAATTACAATTATAATGCCGTATTATTTACTATAGTTACGGCAAGTTATGAAAATTTAAACTAATCATTGGAACGATTCTACCGCATTACTAGTTTGGACATTCAAAATTTTATTATAATCTATATTTGCAAAAATGTTTAGAATTAAACGGATTATTTTAAATATTTAAGGCTGCGAACATGCTTGGACACTTTGGACACTTGGACGTTGGACATAATCAAAAAGGGACAGCCAAAACGTATGTCTATTCAAAGCTCTACAGTATAATTATCAAAATTAAAGAAATGTTCGAATATATCCAGAACCAGAGACGTTTTCATAATAAGCATATAGGTTTAATAAAGACTATGAATTTATAACTAGTTACAGGTTGTCAAGTACTTTTGTTCTCCTTACATTTGTGCGAACATTGTAGATTCGGCCGATTCGTTTTATACTCGAATTCGATGGTCTAATCTGGTTTTTTCAGTCATTCTGTACATAGTGCGCATAGATGCTTTGTGAAAAAAGCGTAAATTTTATATCTCATAGATCCAGTGATTTGAATCACGCGATAACAGATCAAGATTATGTAGAGGGAACCTCTTTATAATCCCCAAATTTTCGTGGGATTATAGAGAGGGTTGAGTGTATTTTCAAAATGAAACCCGGGTTTGTGATAAAGTTTCTATTCAATTTTTACAATGCAAGCTGCTGGTATGTTGTCGCCTATTAGTTCGTTGTCTTAGAGTTCTCTAGTAATCTTTTCAACAGGTTAAAGTTACGAAGAGAACAGCGACTTATAGTTCCGTGTATATTCTTTTTTGCATTTTAGGTGACGACGAAAGCAACGTTCGAGAACAAGAACAAAACCTTATTAAGCTTGGAGAACTTTATCGTGATCAGAGGTTAGTTATTCCTTCATCCCCTAATTGACGTCTTTAGAAGAACATTTTTTATTAGATAATTCTTTTTTTTTTTTTTTACTAGGAAGCCCCATGAATTATCAAACTTGATTCGTTCTTCACGGTCCTTTATGGCATCTATTGCGAGGGCTAAAACTGCGAAAATCGGTACTCTACGATAGTTTTTTGCGAAATTGTTATCAATCAGATAATAACAAAATCAGCGACCATTTTTTTTCAACTAAAATTTCAGTAAAGACGCTGATTGATCTTTTCTCTGAAATTCCCGATACATTACCGCTTCAAATTGAAATATGCAAGGAAACAATTGATTGGAGCGTGCAGGAAAAGCGAATTTTTTTAAAACAATCTTTGGAAACTCGATTGGTTGCTTTGTATGTGTTTTATGTTATTTTTGTTTAATTAAAACTAATTGCTTTGCCTAACACTTTATATACTACTTTAGATATCTTGATAATAAAATGTATCATGATGCCTTAACCCTTATTAATTCCCTTCTGAAAGAATTAAAACGGCTAGATGATAAAATGGTTTTAGTTGAAGTTCAATTATTAGAAAGTAGAGTTTGTCATGCTTTACGGAACTTGCCAAAATCTAGGGTAAAATATAATATTTAAAATTTTATAAAATTAAATACAGCAAATTTCTAATTAATTTCTTTATTTTCTTATTTCCTTGTAAAATCACATTTGTTAATATATTTTTTTAAAGGCTGCTTTGACGTCCGCCAGAACGTCTGCTAACGCTATTTATTGTCCACCTCTTCTCCAGGCTGCACTTGATATGCAGTCCGGAATTTTACATGCTGAGGATAAGGATTATAAGACAGCGTACGTCATTGTCTTTATTCATATTGATTTGAGATGTAATAATAATAGTGAAATTTTTAATATTTATAGTTATTCATACTTTTACGAAACACTTGAAGGATATTCATCTCAAGATGATTCTAGAGCTATCCTTGCACTCAAGTACATGTTACTTTGTAAAATTATGCTGAATTTGGTATGTGACTATATATTATCACAATTTAGATGATTGCAATTTTACAATTCTTTGATACATATTGTGGTTAATATAGTCCGAAGACGTATATGCAATTATTAATGGTAAACTTGCATTACGTTACGCGGGACGTGAAGTTGATGCAATGAAAGCTGTTGCAACGGCACATCAAAATCGGTCGCTTAATGAGTTTGAAACAGCACTAAAAACATATAGTGATGGTAAATGATTATTTTTTCAATTTTTTGAAAATTATTATTTTTCGATGAGTTTGTTTTAATGCGAAAATTTTTTTTTATTTTTTCTTGCACAAGAATTGGAAAATGACCCGATTATTCGATCCCACCTCGCTGCACTTTATGACACTTTACTTGAGCAAAATTTGGTCCGCATAATAGAACCATTTTCGAGGGTTGAAATTTCGCATGTCGCAGAAATAGTCAAATTACCTACTGTTCATGTTGAGACGAAATTATCGCAAATGATTTTAGATAAAGTTTTTCACGGTATTTTAGATCAAGGAGCAGGATGTTTGATCGTATTTGACGAACCACCTCAAGATGTAATGTCTTTTATAATACCTCATATAAGCTATTTAATTATTTAAATAATATTAACAATGGTTTTTTTTATTTAGAAAACATATGAAGCAGCATTAGAAACTCTTAAACAGATGGGAAATGTTGTGGAATCGTTATATGAGAAAGTAGGTCATTATTTTTTATGCGCAAGTTTATGTTTCTGTCTTTAATTTTTTAATTTTTTTTTCGCAGGCTGCAAAATTATCTTAGACATTTAGTTTTTATTTTTTTCACTTAAACAAAATAAAAATTGCTAAATAAAGTATATAAATTTTTCAAAAATAATACAGCAATCGATAAAATTTATGATGACACGTGAATGTGTTTTGTATGACCTAAATTTATTCTTGCAATGTAAATAATATTAAATTTACAAAGTGATCTTTTTATCCTTGTAAGAAAAAGACTAAAGATATGCATAATAGCCGTTTATACAATTCGAAGTATCGCTCTATTTATTCCAAAGAAAAACAAAAACAAATAGAAAATGACGCGTCAATATCATCAGAGTCAGTTTTACATTGGTTAACAAACGAACTTGGATATAGGCACAGACAGAGTACTTCTATACTCGACGAAGTGACAGATCAAGAATTAACGAAGGAAGAAGTACAAAAGTGTGATAGGCGTTTTTTTTTTTCGCGCGTTATGCTTATTAAATTTTTCTTTCGTGAAATATTAACATTAAACGCGTTAACGCGTTTTCCTTAGACTATGTAGGAATGAATTTGTTCCAGTTCTTAAATTTTTAATGGAACACGTGAAATCATCAAAGTACGGAATTTTATTTAGAAATTTTTTATCGAATGTCTTTAATACATTCATTTATAATTAATGATAATTTATTCAGGGAAGCTGGTCAAATTCGAAAGACACTAGCCAAGTAAATTAAATTGAATATTTTAAAGTTGCCTAAAAAAATTTATAAATGAATATTAATTTTACGGGAACCATTACATAGTAATCAAGGTCGGATTAAGAAATCCCATCAGGCAAAACGTAATAAAGGATCAATATCATCATCTGGATCCACTTTTACTGAAGAAAATTATGCACAAAGAAAATTAAAACTTGAAAAGAAATTGGCACAAACTAGTGAGTTAGTTCAAGCAACTGAAGAACAAATATCTCAATTAATTTCATGTATTGCGGATGTTGGTAGCGTAAGAAATTTTTTATATACTATATTAATTTTATGATAAACACTTATTAATTTGAACTTATTATTATTATTATTATAGAGTCGCAAATTCGATCTGTTAAGGATGAAATAAGTGAAAAAAAGAATAAGATTTATATGAAACAAGTTTTTCGCGAAAATTGTAAAGATTTTATAAACTCTGAAGTTGAATATCGGAAACTCTTGGAAGAGTTTAAACCCAAGGCAGGGGTAAAAGATGAAGTAAAGTGTGTAAAAATAACAATCGTCATGTAAAGAAAATAAAAACGAAATCTTATATTGCTTTTTTTTTAGTTTTACGCTTAAAGGTATTGAGGCTACGTTAATGGTACGGAAATAAAATTATATTTATTCCGAATACTTAGTTGACCAACGTTTAACATTTTGCTTTCTGTGCTTATTAAGATTAAGGTCAAAAATATTTGCGATAAATTGAAATTACTTGGGCAGAAAATGATATTGAGGTTTGGAATGCTGAATTGAAGGCGATTATTTATATGTTAGAAATAACGTATCTCACTAAATGAATCTCTTACTAGTCAACGTATCGATAGTGGATCAAAAACAAATGTTCTTCTAATGATGGAGGTTTGTATTACGCCTCTTCATTTAATTTATTGTCTAAAAAAAATATCATGTTAATTAATTATCAATATTATATATAGGATTTATTAAAAACAATGCCTCCGAAAGCGTTACTCAAGTCTGTGATAAATATAATGAGATTAGCTGCTAAAGATCTAAAGTAAGTGCGTGTAATATCTCACTCTTAGTTCGTCATTATGAAAACTCATTTTAATTATAATTTTTGTTAGCATGAAATCTGAGCAGCTCACTGGGGAAAAAATTCTTACAGATGACGATTCAAATTGTGTTCAACGGATGTTACATGTAGGTATTCAATCTTTATTAAATTTCAAATTACTGTTCTAATAAATTTTTTTAAATCGAATAGACATTTATGAAAGATCACGCGTCAAAGTTCTTTGAAGTTGAAAAAATATTGAATGACATTGTAGAAATTAATGAAAAAATATTGAAAAAACATGCGTCAATAGAGGTTCTTGTTAAACAAAAATATTTGCACATTCCATCCATGTCGAATCGAATAATGTAACTTTATAAAATATTGATTTTATTTTCAAAGCGCATAAATGTAACTTCATCAACTTTTTATTTCATGATATAGATCAGTTATAAATGCAAAGGCCGATTCCGAAGCTACCCGAACTGCACTTAATATAATATCTAGTTTTGATGAAGGACTTGAAAGACGATATCAAGGACTAGCTGCATTAAATGATAATTTGGCAGTAATTTCCGAGCATGTTTATAGCTCAAACGAAATTATTGTAAGTGAGAGATTTTTTAAACGTTTATCGAAATATTCTTATTAAAAAAACATAATTTAGAAACAGAAACAGAAAGACATTCAAACCTTAATTGTTATCAATCGGCAAACGGGAGGAGGTTTACTTGAACGATCTCTAGAGGTAGATTTTAACTCATTTTTAATAGTCATATATATGATAGCTAATACCATTATATTTCTTTTATAACAGATATCAACGTTCATACAAGAAAAACTAAATCCTTTTAAACTTCATGTCAAGTCTTTAACTAAAGAGCTTGATTGTATGATATTACGAGAGAACGAACGATTTCAAAATTTGGATTTAAAATTGGCAGTACAAGTCCAGTTAAACAAGTATAATTTTTTTCATCATAATTATTGTTATTATTATTACTTTTGTATATTAACCTTTTAAATAAAATGATAGTGATTTTCGTGCTGTCAGTTCCCTTGATATCTACAGGGTGCTTAATGATAAATTTATAGGGGAAATAAAGGAAATAATACACTGCCCTAAGCATTCGGTATATATAAAAGAACAAATATTTTTGTTTCGTTTGCAATAAATGCTTAATATAACTAACTTTACAAATTGTGCAAAGAGCATCGACAGTATTCTCAGAATTTTGGCTGATTTGAAGCGCGAAGGTAAGTTATTATTTTTCACTTTATAAAACAAGGAAAACATTCCTAAAATTTCAAAATTTTTTATAGGTTCTGCTTTCGAAATTGTACGAAATAATTTAATCAAGAATATGAGCCCTTACCATTATGAAATGCAAGTGATTGGTATTTAAAAAATAAAATAATCTTCATTGACTTTTTAAACATGTATTATTTTTAAACACGTATATTTTAAAATTAGTAAATAAATGGGCGTCTTCGATACGCGGTGGCGTAATAAGAGAATCGATGTTTGATAAAAACATAACGTACGAACAAACAGTTAAAGATATGAGAAGCTCTATCGAAATTTTGTCAGGTGTGTGTAGCTACAAATTTTTATTCATTATTTTTTTTTTCAAAAAAATAACATTTTACTTTACGTAGATATGTTGGAAAAACAAGAAAAGGAATACTTTGAAAAACAAGTTCCGCGAATAAAAGAGGAAATTGAGAAGAGCAATGCGGCTGAAAATATTTATAAAGAGATTCAAGAGATAATTGAAGAACGGGTTGCAACCCATACCTTTTCTTTGAATTATGATATTACCACATAATTTGAGTTTGGGAATCGGGATTTCTATTTCATAACCAAAAACCCAAACATACTGTATGTCACATTTTCGGTTTATAGTGTCAAACTCAAACCAATGTCTATAAATTATTAAAACTAAGAACTTAAGAGTAATTTAGCGGGTATGCTGAATAAAAGGTCAATTAATAGTAGGAAGTCCTAAACTGTTACCTATAATATTTGAGATTATTTAAATTGCTTTATTACATAAATAATTGATTTTCTATTTAAAAATTTTATAATATGGGCCTAGAGTTTAGAACCAATTTCGACCTTCGGATTTAAATCGTTTCAATTCGAATATTAATAAAATTATCTATTAGTCATACATTAATCGCGTCGAAATAATTATTTTTACCTTTAAATTTTGGGCTTTATGCTAGGGTTTTAACTGTACGTACTATTCAAGTATGTACATCATAATAAAGTATATTAAAAAAAGGGGAATTTACAAATAAGGGCCCAAAAATGTAAAATAATTACATATAGAGGCCCTATTTCAATAAATTTTAATAGTTTTTACTAATGTCTCATGATACCGTAAACGAAATTTAACGATTTTGATACCATTCGAATCGTCTCATTGAGACGCATTGAATGGTATCAAAATCGCCAAATTTTAATTACCGGATTACGAGTTATTTAACATTTTCTAAAGTCTGTTTAAGTCGTAATATCTTGTTATTCCGTCATTAAAATTTAGCGATTTTAGTACCATTCGATCCGTCTCGACGAGACGATTCGAATGGTATCAAAATCGCTAAATTTCGTTTACTGTATCGTGAGATATAGTAAAATTTTCTAAAATGGGGCCTCTTATATGTAAATATTTTACATTTTTAGGTACTTATTTGTAAATTCCCCTTAAAAAAATCGAATTCGAAATATCACATCATCACGAAATAATCACATAAATCACGAAAATACTGTATAATTATTATTACGATTAAATTTATCATTCACCCATTTTTAATATGAATCAAACGAAGAAAGCGCAAGAAGACGGTAAAAGCTTTGATCCTAAAGCCAGTATAGTAAAGTTAGATACTTTACTAGAAACGGTACATATCGAAGAAATTCCGCTTATTAAACAGATATTAAAATTTATTAATTACTTATTAGGTAGAAGAACTTCGTGCGTCATTTATAAGTGTATGTGACTATCTAGAAGAGTTATGGAGTCCAGGCCAGTTTCAAGGTCAATAGTTATTGAACAGACGTTAAACTGAAAGTGGAAAACGTTTATTTGATTCGACATAAAAAAAAATTTGGTATTAATATTTATTTATTCTTAATTCATAAAGATAACGCAGAATTATTGGAACGCGAAAAGCGTGGAGAAAAGGTTCTTGCACCATCATTTGATGTAGATAGATTTAGTAGAATGAATGACTCGTGCGTAAATACAATGGATAAGTTTCTACAATTAATAGCGTCAAGTGGAGGTAAACAAGTTAAAAATATAAGATTAACAAACTAAATTCAACTTTAATCATCTAACTTAAAATTATATCATATTTAAAAGAAGAATTAGAATATGCGCGAAAAACTGCAACCTCCTGGGCAGATAATTCATCGATTCCTATAAAAAAGTACAGTTCATTTGATTAGAATTAGTCGAATTTACGTATAAAATTTATAAAATTTGAGGTTTAATTATTTTTAGAACATTTAATAAGATTTTTGGAAATGAGCATTAACGGGAAATCTGGTGAAGTAATAAACTATGAAGAAGTGCAGAAAAATAGTCAGCAAACAGCAAAGTATTAATTACTTCTATATTAGTAATGCAATTGTTGTTAAGCAGTAAACTTATGAAATATTTTTTATTTTAGAATATATACTAAGGAGAGTGACATATACTTTAAGCGACGTAAAAAGTACGGTGTTTTCGGAGCTACTGAAATATACGATGCTAGGTAGTTGCCAAGAATCTATGGACTTAATATGTTTACAACTTTCTAATGTTGGATTTATATCAGTCAACTCAATAGTACAATCGACAATTGGTTAGCCGAAGCAAAGCAAAAACCTTACCATGTTGGTATTGAGAAAGTTGAATGTGACTTATCAGGAAGGCCATCTGGTTTGGTGGTATGTATATTGTCTTTACAAATAGCATTTAATGTAAAATTTAAATATATTTAACGTAACTTAATTAACAGGTGTCAGTAGACAATTTATTAAAAGCTGGGATAATACTAAAATATAATGATATTAATGGATCATCAGTGTCGTTTGTTCGATTGACTGTAATCGGATACCATGAAAAGGTATGTTATAACGCATTTAAATTATATAACTATATAAGGACTATCAAATTAAATTTATAGTCTTTATTTTTTTTTAAAGAAATCGATTCGAGAATTTTCAGATATTCTTGTATTCCAACGTATAACTCAAATTGGGCTTGAATTATTTAATAACTTGGATCAAAGTGATCCTATGCCGAAATTACTTGTAAGAAAAAAAAAAAAAAATTATTTAAAAATTTTCTTTAAATATCTATTTAAAAAAAAAAATTAATAATAATTAAATTTTATCTAAAAAAAGGATTGGATATCAAGCTTCCACGATCTATTTACATCTAAATGTCACCATTGCCAAAAATTATTGTCTTTTGATTCACATGTAAACAAATATTTACCGCCTGTTCGTAGAGTTTTTAGTGATGGAAAATTTTTGCCTTTTCATTACCATTGCTACCGACAGTAGAAAGTCATATTTTAAACTTGGCAAAATTTTTAGGTAAGTTGTATTCAATGTGAATAATAAGATTTTAGGATCATTCTAATTATTTTTATTCTAGGTAAATGCATGTTATTTTTGTTAGTAATATATAACAGAAAATTGAATACTTTTAAAAATATAATAATGTGAATAATAATTTTAAGCAGAATTTGTAAAATCTATGATAACAGATATCAGATATCTTCAGACATAAATAATAACATTTTTATTTTTTTTAATAATTTAACTACGTGTTAAAATAAATTCTATATCTGTTTACCTTACAAGCCTTATCTGTTATATAACTTATTTTAAAAAACAAAGAACAAGCACAAAGTACTATTTTCTAAGTAAATTTAGCTGATAACCTCCTCACGGGTCGGATCGGACGAATTTTAGCAAAGACTCGAATCCGAACCTAAAAAACCCGGAACCGACCCGGAATTTGGATATTGCTCTGTAAAAACCCTTTGTACTACAGATCAAGCCTCTTAAACTTACCGTATTCCTCCGACATGTATACCCCCCTGTAAGCTGTACTCTGCAGCAATTTCAGATGCCAAATCATGATTTATACCTGGGTATTAATTATAGTGATCCTCCGACTCATGTATCCCTCTATGACTTGTATCCTATCTTAAAACTACCCCCAGTATCACCATCAAATTTTCGCTTCATGTGATAAGCAAGTCTCGCCTTTATATAACGTTACACGATCAGATTAAAACAAAACATTCTGCATAAGAAACCACCTTTTGCGCTCTAAAAAAAAAAAAATTCCTTGAGCAATTTTATTCTACTTCTAACACTTAGCCCCCAAAATTAATATCTGTAAAAATTTTTTTTTTAAGACTTTTCGCAACCTAATTGTAATTCTAATTTTAATAAATTTTCAATTTTGTAATTATTTAAATTGAAACTATGAGATTAAATAGAATCTAAACCAATAAGATATGAAATATAGTGTGATTACTGAGATTAAAAGTAATGATTTAAGAGTAGAAGGTACTAAATTAAAATTATATATAAATTTAATGGTAAAATTTTTTTTTTTCATAGTCATTATCATCACACTCTTTTTACAAATCATTTTGACCAAATTTGGAGCTAAGAGAAAAACCAAGATAACTCGAAAAATCTATTAAGAAACAGTGCCTAAAGCATTAAGAAAAAAGAAAGAAGACCAAAAAATACATATATTGTATTATAAGAATGAGAGCAAAAAACAATTAGAAAGACTATCACAAAACTTGAAACAGAAAAATTTGATGGAAAAAAAATTTTTTCTTAGAAATTTTGGGGATTTGGAATCATCCTGAATTACAGATCAGTTATTGTAATATAAATATGTGAAAACAGTATAAACAAACAAGCGTAATTTAGAAACTAACAAGATGTATTACATGTTAGCCAATAGAAAGAATCTATATATAACGAAAACCAGAAAAATCACAGGTAATCAGAAAAAAACCTAAGGAATTTGGTCAAAAAGACAAAGTCACTCGAAGAAAACAAGTTAAAGATAGAAGAAAACAGAGTGTACAAAACAAGATCAAAATAATATGTAGAATACAGAAAGCTCTAAACACATCATTAAGAAAATAACCAAAGAGTATAGTAGAAAAATTATTCAAGAAGGTAGTGTATTAGTCCTAGCTCATGCAAAGGCCTACTGAATATTAATATCTCATTTATATTTTGTGGTATATTATATAGCCTCACTATAAACTGTTTTCTGTTTTCAAGTATCTCTTTTCTGTTTGAATCTGGAATGATACATATTAAAAGTTCATTTGTGAGAGAGATAATTCAAGCTTCGATCTCTTATACAAAACTACTTCTTTTTTCAAAAGATATTTCTGCTCTCATTTTTCTATATCTTTCTTTTATCATTTCGATGTTTTTAACACGACTCAGTATTTAATTGCAAAGAAAACTTGAGATCTTGATATATAGTAGGGTATATCCCATACAGTAATAGTCTCTTCTTTGTTTGGATAAGATTCTCTTTCGTTAGCTATGCTATTAGTTCTACTGAGGACTTTTTCTTTAGTTAGAAGAGTTTCTTGTTCGTACATTCTTTTTTTCTTTTTATCTTTTGTAGATATCACTTTTTCTTCTTCTATTTGGATATAAGCTGTTTCCTTTCTTTTTTTACTTGCACTATTTGTTGAATATTCTCCCTTTTCAGTTTGGTCATACTGAGTAGACCTCTTCTTTAGTATTTCTTCGAGTTTTTTCTTTGCTTGAATTTCTCTTCCTTCTTTTTCTTTTTCTTTGTTTTGTATAATTTTTCCTTTCTTTAGACTTTCTTTTTGATCTTTTCCTCGAGTATTAGGTTTATCTGATCAAATTTATCCTTCTTTTTCTCTAGTCTTAACTTAGCTTCATTATACCCTTTTTTACAATCAAAGTAAATAATACACTATTGGTTTCCATTTGCAAATTTTTCTTGAATCACTTTGATATGTTTGTTTCTTCTTAGAGTCTATCTTATTGATTTTTCTTTTTGTTCTGTATTATCTCTCAGAATCTTGACTGCTGCTACTTTTGCTTTGATCTTTCCTTTGTCTTTGCATACTTCTAAGTTAGATGCCCATAAACTATAGTCTAAAGATGTACTGCCATATCTTGCTTTTCTATCTCTACTAGTTGTTCTAATCTATCTTCTACCTCATCTTTACGTAGACATATTTCTATGCTATTTTCTACTAATTGGATATCTTCCATAATTTCAGATACTTTTACTCTTTCTACTTCTCTTTCGTTGCTATTTACCTTTTCTTGATATTGTATGTTTTGTTTTATATTTTTGCATGATTCTAGTTCTTTATCTCTTTCTGCTTCTGTAACTATTACCTCTTCAATTCTCATTTCTATTTCTTGTGTTGTCTCATTTGCTT